GATGTCAATTTTGGTCGGCGGATCAAGTTTGTGTCTAGCTTGAAAATGACCCGACCCAAATTACGTCTATTCGAACCCGAACTAAATAATAAATAGGTCAAATTCTCTGATCCGATCTCGACTCGAAAAATATTTGGGTCAACCTAAACCAAAATTTTTCGAGTCGAGTCAAGTTGACGTGTCAGGTCATTACACATTTACTAAGAAGCATGAAATAATCAATCTAACCTCTCTAACTTAAATGGCTTTAATCTGACTCCCATAAATCATTTAACAGAAAACATAATAACCATTAAGGTCAATTTTGCCAATTCAGTGGGTTGTGTTCGGGTCAACACCAAGTTTGACCCAACCTTTAACATCACCCAAACCCAACCAAGTTTATTAAAATCCAACTCCAGTTCAATCAAAAAGTTTAATTAAATCAAAAAACATAAAAGTTTGAGGACATAATTAAGATATTTTAAGATCACTGTAGAATTTATGAGTTATTTTTTAAGTAAACAAAACATTACTGAATTAATTAGTTGACATTGAAGAAGGTGAGCAATCCAGCACTGAAAAACTTGCTGAAGAAAGAACCCTCCGAAGAAAAGATAGAATATATGCTGAATAAATTTCTTCAAGATGTTAAGCAAGGAACCTGGAAGGAAGCTGGATGGCCTGAGATCTGGACTGATTACTCAGTCTCCAAGCTTGCAGTAAACGCCTACTCAGAATTGCTCTCCAGGCAGCAGAAAGACAAAAACCTGAGCATTAATTGCTTCTGTCCGGGCTTCACAAAGACAGCAATGACCAGAGGAATGGGAACTCATACTGCAGAAGAAGCAGCTGAGGTTGCAGTGAAGATTCTCCTGCTTCCGCCTGATGAACTGCCCACCGGAAAGTTCTTCAAATGGCTCGTTCCTTCGTTGTTATCCATGCTGTAGAAGTTAATAAGTGGAGTTAGATTTGATGTGCATTCGTTGTTTAATCTAAGTAAATGGAGTACTAGAGAAAATGGAAAGAGT